GGTATGTTGGTTTTTTAAATGAATTATCAAATTACCTCTACTGGATTTTTTCCACATGCCATATTAGCCTTATGAAATACTCAGACAACAGTTGCATGTAATATGTGATATGTAACTATTAGGGGTGATTTCATTACTGTAATTCTATTATGAGTGGCCTGATATTTGCTGTCCCATAACTATTCTTCTGCACATGGATTAAAAATTATAAGCCTATCCCAGTTATACCTGATTATTTTTTCCTAGTCTTCATCTGGTGGAATAATAATGGGTTCTAAAACTTCTTATTTGAAAGTACTAATACCAAATAAGCCTAAAATCCGGAGATTAGGTGTAATATGTACTGTGAAACAGCTCATTTAAAAAATACATTAAAGAGAAAATGTCTCAAAATGACAGTAAATTCAATTATATTTGAGACATACATTAGGGAATCCACACTATGTAAATTGAAAGCTTGTAATTTTAAATATCAATTCATATTTTTTCTTAACTTTTTAATGTAGTATTTATTATACATTTGTATTTGTCATTAGGAACCCCAAATGGCACGTGATTTCACTCTTTTGCAAGCAGGTGCAAAATACTATAATTTTGTATTTCATTTTGAAATATGTATTTTTGTCAATTAAAAATGCAATAAGTAAGTCAGGCTAAGTGACAGATATGAAAATCAGTTTATTTAAATGTCAATTTATATGTATGTGTGTATGCACCCCTGCACGCGCGCACACACACACACACACACACACACACACACACACTTACTTTTACTTTGATTTCAGCATACTTTTCTTAGTACATCTTAAGTATCCCTTTTTAGTACTTCTCATTCCTCCACATAGGAAACATGAAGCCATATTCTGAGGTACAAATTATGGACTAGCTGCTAGGCAGATTTTCTTTTTAAAAATACCTGTCTCTGTTTATTTGAAGGAAGGAAACATACAGAAGCTCTCACTGTTGTCTTAAATTAAGATTTGGAATATCACTTGCAATATTGCTGTTCACAAAATGGGCTATTTGCTTTGATGTTGTTAATGAATATGGAAGCTAAATATGTAAATACGTGTACATGCATGTGAGGGACAAACAGAGGGAGAATGAATGAGGGTTTAATGGAATCTCTCAAATCAAAACCTTAAATAATTGGTTTGTTCTACTCCATATTGATACAATAAGTTGATTTCTCCATCTGTTAGCTTCCAGAGCAACCTAAAATCTATGTACAATTTCTATTGCCAACAGAACATAACCCAGTATGATTAAAAATGTCAGGCTCAAACACTGCTGTGGCACATTAATTTCTAAGTGGCCTAATCTTGCTCTACAAAATGCTGAAAGTTTTTGTTCTATGACATTCTCCAGCATTTGAAATTGTCAAATATCAAAATCAAATCCAATGTGTCAAAATAATAAGATAAATTTTAGATTATCTCTTTTAGCTCTACAGGATAACCTATTTCCTCCATAGCACTCTGTATCCAAAGCAGAAAACCTAAAAGCAATTTAAGTGTCCTAATGAAAACTGTCTTAATATATACCCTCCAAAAAGGGACTAATGGGAAAAAGGGCAACTTTAAGAAACTATCCTTACATAATTTCACATTATCCTAAAAGACCCTATACAATCATGAACTTCTGCTATCAAAACATCTTACATTAGATTTTGTTCCCATTTTGCTTCTAGGTAACCCTCTTTGTTTATGAACAAACAATTCTGAATATCAGAACTGTCTTATTATAAAACAATTGCATTTAAAATTGAACATCAAAAGTCATATCAAAAGATCTCTGTAAAGACTTAATAAACTGGAGAAACAAAACTAAGCATGAGAGAACTTAGAGATGACAGGGAAGTTCTTTTTGTAAAGCCTAATATATCTCCTAAATTCTGATTTCCTATGAATGATGTACCGAAGAAGGACCGCATTCTTTTGCTCTCCATGTCTGCCAGATTGTGAATACTGATTTTTAAAGATAATGAAGGAGTAAAATGAGCTATCTCTTTTACTAAGACAGGATAATCTACAACAAATGAATAAAAGGGTGCAGGATGCAACAGCACCTTAAAATATAATTTGCAAATATTCTGTAAGCAAATGAAACAGTGGTTTCTTGATATAACTATTTGAAAAATATTGATTATACTACTTTTCACAATTTTTGAGAATGGCAGAAACAACAGTAACAAAACAAAATTTTAAAAACCCCAACACATATCAGTAAGTTACCCATATATTGGGTATCTTCATCATCAGTAATGAAAAAAAAGCAACTAAGTATTCTTATTATCTTGGAAAACTTGTCAATAAATTTACCGGAGACATAGTTTCAAAAATAACATTCTGCATCAACTATAAGGAAAAACAATGGATTTCCTAGTAGATGCATTGAAAGAAATGTGTGCTCATTTTCAAAGGCTGTGAACAGAATGGTCTTTTATTTCAAAGACTGATTTGTGTGGATGTGTGCGTTTTAAGTAATTAGAAGTTCTTTTCCATTCAGCCCCCCCAATGCACTGATATGTAGACCATATCCAAGGATGAGCCAGAAAGAAAAGGCCTCACAAAACCCACTAACAAAATAACTAGCAGATACCAGAAACTATGCAACAGTGGCTGCCATGAAAAAGGTCATTCTTTTTTCTTAGTATAAACCATTAATCAATGGAATATAATTGTTTGGCTGCTTACAAGGGCCAGCAGCATACAGACTATGTTTCTTCCCTGGCATAATTACAAAACAGTAAAAGTTCAGAAATATAACCCAATTCTACCTCCCCTTTTTACCCCTTTTCAATTCCTCACTGCCCTTTGGGCCTCTGCTTTGGAAGCAAATGGAAGACAGACTGAAGTTTTCTCAATTGAGCTGAAAGCTAAGAAACCTTTGATATGCTAATGGGATCCTTCAAAGGGTAAGAATTCACACTTGCATTAATTCAAACAATTTGTGCAGAATGATGTGAAATGGCACCTCTTTTAGTAGCAAGTAACAAAAGGGAGGGAATCTGAGTATCTGAAGAAACCAAACAACAGAGGATTTGTTCTGCAGGATTCTTTTTAACAAGGACAATATTTTCTGAAGGAAAAGAAACACACACCTGAAGCCCCAAATAAGCTATCTTTCCCTTCTGCCATACCAATTATAGGTGCATCTAATAACCATCACTAGTATTATCAGAAGCTATTATTATCTCCAACATATGAGCAAGCAAGAAATCTTCCCATACCTGAAAGCCTCTGAAAAGGTAAGAGTTTTTTTTCCTATATCCAGTATCCCCTTCCCCTAAATTTCATTGTGACTTTTATTTTTGATATTCTAATGCTAAAAAGAAAAGAAAAAAGCAAACATCCTTCCAGACATCTCCAGCACGCCACACACACACACACACACACACACTTTCTTTGCATTGTCTCCAGGTGGCCCTAGACTTCTTTCTACGAGCAAAGAAGAAACCAGTCTTTAGGCCACAACCGGGAAAGAACTGTTATTTATGGCTAAGTGGCAGCCTTTATAGGAGACATGCAAAGGACGGTTTGATCCCTTCTGCTTCCTTGTATGATAGGTGAAAATGTGTGTGCAACAAGTGGGTCTTTTTATTCAAGGAGTGAAACTTTTCCCTTTCAATATACAACTAAAATACAAGAGGAGGAACAAGAGAAGGGCCTGCTTAGGCATTCATGCAGCCAGATTAATGAAATCAACTGCCAGGCAGCTTCCTCCAAAGAATCTCTCTCAGTCGGGGAATCTGTGCTTCCACTAAAGAATGTTGGAGGAGCAAACCAAAAACAGAGAGGAGAAAAATCTCTTACAGTAACAGGATCCAGATGGCTCTTGCTGTTACTATAAAACTTGCAAGACTGCCCCTGAAGCTTTTTCTTCCATCTCTGAAGCAAGGAAGGCTACCCAAGGAACTTTCTTACATTCATACACACACACACTAACCTCTTTCCATGGTGAAATAAGAACTTAAAACAGTTAGAAGACAATGGCTGGAAAGATCCCCCTCCCCTCCATACATTTCTTGTTCACAGCCCCACTCTCTTTGGCAGGCTCCTTTGCAAGGGAACTTGTTTAAAATCACCTCCTGTCTCTTACAGGGAAGTATCACAGGGCCTTATGAATAGCTCTAAACAAGCTGACAATAAGTTCCATCAAAATTGATGATAAACGCTGCCAGATCAAATGGGTAGGGTTGGGCAAAGTTTAGCAAGTCAGAGAGGTACCTCTCCTTGAACCCACCCAACTAATCCAGGTTCTGATGCCAGCCAGCCACAAGAACAGGCAAAACAAGGGGAACAATCACCCCCATGTGAAGGTGTTCTTCCAAAACCTCAATCCTCTGAACAAGAACTTGGTTGCTAAGGGATATCAATGCGTTCCTCTCCCAGGACAGTTCCCTTGGCTTGAATCTGATCTATCTGGCCCTCCGCTACCAGGACTCTTAGGTCTTTTCTCCAAGATGCCTTGATCCTAAGGAGTGCCACCTCTACTAGCAGTTGGTTCACAACTAATTGCATTTTCAGGTCACCCTCCTTTCCCTACCCCTTGTTTCATGGGTCACTGGCATTCACCGTCACTCCTTTCTTTGCCAGAAGGAGGAACAGTTATTGGAAGCAATGGCAATCACAATCTTCCTCCACTCCCCTACCTACATGGGCCTCAGGTCCAGTTCTCCCTTCCCTGGTCATAAATAATACTCTTGATTTATGTAGTGGGTTTTTTTTTTAAGGTAAAATAGAAATGTTTGAATGAATGCGAATAAGGAAAAAGTGGGACAGGAAAGAGTTCCCGGCATCTCACGGGTGTATTGGCGGGGTTCCCTTTTCCCCACAGGGAAAACAAAGGACGAGGAACGCGCACCCCGTTCTCCCACGAAGCCGCCCCCTCGCGTGGAAATGGCTCGCAAAGCAGGAGGTACCCAAGTAAGCAAACAGGTACCGTAAGTAAAGAAAAGCTCATTCTCCCCACCACACACACACACCAACCTCGCTTACCTTTGGATTTGCAGCCAATTGCGAGCCAGGGTTTCTCTGGCATCTGGGTGCCCCAGAAAGGAGGTGCACTGGATGAGTCCCTTTACGATCACGAGGGTTGGGCCTGGGAAGCGGCAGCAGCAGCAGAAAGCCAGATCGAGCCGAAGGATCGCCGGTCAGGCAAAAGAGCCGGGCTGGGTAGAAGTGTTTGAAAGCCAGGGAAACAGCTGGCTTCGCAGCTCGCTGAGCTGGGACAAAAAAAAATGTACAAAAGGCAGCGGCTTCTCTTCTTCTTCCTCGTCCTTCTCCCTTTCTCCAAGCAAACCCAGCCAGCCGAGGGGCTTTTAGAGGGGTTAAGTCAACATTTTCCCCCCACAGTTCCCAACGCGCGCTGCTCTTTCTCTCCCTCCCCCCTCAAAAAAAGAGGGAGGAAGGCAAATTATTAGAGGGAGGAGAAAAGAAACGGCACAAGCCAGAAAGAAAAATCGAAACAATTCTTCCGGTACTCTAAAAGCACCACAACAAAAGAGAGCTTAGGTGCAAAACCCACTGGATATGACCAGCCCTGGAGTCCTAGATTTCTCTTTTCTTTGAGCAACTGGAACGACTGTTTAGAAAGAAAAGAAAAAACGGAAAAACAAAACCACGATGCCAATAATTCGATCTTCGGTTTCTTTTCTTCAGGGAGGAGGCGAAGGCGAGAAGGGGGGTTGGATGCAATTGCAATGCTCAGAGACCACCAGGCATTAAAAAAAGAAAATCAAATATCTTCTTCTAAAAAGGCAGCCTCTCTTTCTCCGTCCTTTTCTTCCATCTTCTTTGCATCACCCTTGATGACATTCTGGCCTCTGGCAGGATCCAGTCCCAGCCCTTCCTTCCTCGGGCTTCGCGTCTTCTTCCCTCGGATGCTCTGCCCCGTTGAAGAACAGGAGATCAAGAGCCCAACTGGCCGCGCTTAAAACCACGGGGAGAAGAGAGCCCGGGCATGAAATCGCCCAAAAGGAAGCAAGGAATGGAAAGGGTGTGGGGGGAACCCAATGAATAGTACCGCCAGCTCCTTTTCGTTCATGCACCTCTCCGTGTGTGACTGGGGATTGCGAAGTCCTGACACAGACTCTCCACTAACTCTGAACTGGAGCCACCTCCAGCCTCCACCTCTTCCAATCTCCACCCCCTCTTTCTCTCTCTTTCTCTCTTTCTCTCTCTCTCTCTCTCTCTCTCTTCTCCCCACCCCTGGGCTCAGCTAATCATATAAACATATTATCGTAGAGAGAAACGGCGACAGCGGCAGCTTTTCTTCTGCTCCCCCCCACACACTCCCGCCCCCTCTAGCCCGCTTTCCCCCCTCCCTTTTCTCCCCTCCTTCTCCCGCCAAAACTAGGAGTTCTGGCAAATAAAAACAGATTAGAGGCAGCTAAGTACCAAACGTGAAACGGATAATCTAAAAGCTCGATCTGCCACCACTGGCCATTTTCCAGTCCATTTCAGCTGCTTGCGGCGGCACCGCTGGGAGGGGGGAGGGAAAAGAAGGTGGGCTGGAATAAGAGAGAGAGAGAGAGAGAAAGAAAGAAGAACGCACGCGGATCCGAGGAGGGGCAGAAAGGGGGAACGGCGTCGGTGTAAGCTTGAGCCGGTCTGGCGGCAGCAGCAGGAGACGCTGGTTCCCTTCAGCCAATGGCAACGGCAAGCTTTGGGGCAGCCTCGAAGCGAGAGCGCATCTCAGGGTCCCGACTGGAAAGGCTGCTTGACGGCCGGGATCCCTTTCCAACCGGTCGCGGCGCTGCAGACTCGCAGACGCCGCGGCCGTTCGCTTCGCCGGCTCTCTCCGTTCCCTTGCACAAGGGGCGGGCGGCTGGGCAACGAGCGCCGGGCTCCTTCAAACTTTAGTCGCCGGCTTCTTTCCCTTGCCCGCTCCACCCCAGCCCACCCTTCCCTGCCCGGTCGTTAGGTTAGCCCCACGATCCGATAGGAGAGCGTTGGCGAGCTGAAGCGGCGACAGCGGGGTTCGGAAAAAGGGAGGAAGGTTAAGCGAACGCCGCCGGAGAAGCGAAGGCGGCGGGAAGCTTTGAAAGTTCGAGTCGCGGAGCTTTCATCGGGCGCGGATGAGTATCCGCCAGCAGGTTTCAAACGTCAAGCCCGTCCGCCATTCTTCACTCTGACGGTTCGGGCCGCCTGCGATCGTGCGTTTCACTTTGCGGGGCAGCGAGAGGGGGCTTGAGCAAGCTGCCCACGTGCAGCATTGAGGAAAAGCAACGGGGAGATCAAGAAAAAACGATACAAATATTACAACGACCCTCGCAGAGCCCCAGGCTCGCTTCTTTCTTCCTTCCTTTCCCTCCCTCCTTCCTTCCTTCCTATCAGTGTGCAAATATGTGTGTCGGTGTAAGATCAATAAAGCTTGTAAATAATTTGAGGAAGGTGTACTTTCCCCAAAATACTGTGAGGGGGCGGACCTTGTTTATTTCCTCACTAAATTGTTTCAGAGATAGAATTTCTCTCACTTTGACACAAACACAAACTCCATTTCAGGAAGTGCTGTTTGGTCTGAAAACTGGATGTTTTTAAAACTGCTAGTTCTCTGGATTGGTTCACACATCTGATTTCATACACCTCATGGAGTGGCAAGTGTGGAGCTGTTGCCCTGCGATAACCTGCCCTGATCACATTTTTAAATGCAGTATGTTATATAGACGAAATAAATTTACACATTAAATCAGTAAAACAAAACGTGTCATTTATCTGCAATATATCGGAAACCATTTCTGGATGTTATATAATTAGAGATTTGGGCATTTTACCACTGAGATTATTGAAATGAAGAAAGTTTGAGTTCACCAGAAATGGATTTTTGTGTGAAGAAATGCAAGCTCAGTTCAATTTTGACATGAGGATGAATCCTAGACTAGTAATATTATTTAATGTGTTATGTAAGCGTTTTGCTTCATTCTCATTAGTTATTCTTGATTCTGTGATCCAACAAGCCTGAAGTATGACCACTCCACTTTAAATTAACAATAATTATTGATACCAGACATGGCAAGATTATATTGTCAATTAGTTATAAATATTCTGTATGGTTACTGTTTCATGTTTCTAGTAAGAATTTGAAAGCACAATATGCCCCTAGTTTAATCAAATAACTTTATGAGCTAGTTATTTACCAGTCTGAATATGCATAAACTGAACATGGTTCATTTTTTGCATGGATAAAGACTAACATGTCACTGAAGTGCCCATGTAAGAAACCAGAGAGAGGACTTTCACAACAATTGGTTGCATAATTAGTTACAAAACATCTGGCTTTAAGTATGCAATGTATGTTACAATACAGACACCCTATGATCAGACCATAAGTACAATATAATTGTATCTTGCAGCCCAAGTTGAATAACCATAACACACGGCAAGCTTGGATCAGGGCATGGATCTGACCCATGCATTTTTACCCCACTCCACCCTTTTGGCTATTGTTTAAATGGATCACCACGTGTTAAACCATTTTTCCCCTGCCCATACTATCTGGGATAGGAATCGGATTGTCCTCCCTTTTGCCTTGCTTTTCTATGTTTGCTCTATCCTGATAAACAATGATGTGGAAAGCTTCAGGTTACCGATGTTATCATAGATGTTGTAGAAAAAGGAGATGTTCACATATAGTATGCCATAATTCAGGATTCACTTTGTCTACTTCCATCCCATAAAAAAACAACATAAAAGGACGCTAAAGTCATACACAAAATCTTAAAAGATAAAACATGGGTCGTATGGACTGTTGCAAGAATATTTTAGTTTTAAAGCAGTCTTATAGGTGCGATGGGTCGGGCACGACTTCGCCACTAACAACAACATAGGTGCAGTTTGTATTAAAATCAAAGATACTATGTGTTTACTGGTATACATATTACAAAATAATTACAGCTTTGCATATGTGATACAGCTGTGACACACCCATGTCCTGATTGTCTAGCCAATCCCTTTTTCCCTTCCCTTCCTGCTGTATTTACTACAAGGCCCAGATTGGTATTCAAAAACCTCTTGTATTTGCTCTGCTTGCCACCATTAATTGCCCTAGGGTCAATCTTCTGAAATGAATTATGTCAGTTTCAGAGCCAGTCCTCCCATATTAGCTACACTGTGCTACCACAAATTGTCCTAGGGTTATTCTCCTTGGGTGACTTATGCAGTGCACACTTGAAAGAGCTGAATCCTTTACATTCTGGGAAACTGCACATAAAATCAGATAGGAAACATTTTCACTTTGTAAACCTTCAAAGTTACCATAACCTTTTGGATCTGTTGGCACAACACATTTTGCTACAATTTTTTTTAAAACAGAAACTGCTTTAAAGAATATAATTATCCTTCACAGCATAAAAGTAGTGGTCTTAAGTGTAATTTGAAGTGATTAAAAAGATTCCATACTCTAAACAACATATACCTTGAAAATTAGTCAATTGAGGTTTTTTCTCTCTCTAAAATAATCCATGAGGCCACAAAAGGCAGTAATATTGCTCATTATTATTGCAAAACATTGTGCCTGCCATGATCCTTTCTTCTGTTCTAGCATGCTAATATAGAAATGAGTTGATGCCTTGTGTATAAATAATCAGTACAGTTGTAGAGAAACAGTGTATTTTCTATCTATTAAATAGCCTATATTTTCACCTGATTTTAGAAAGAGTTTGCTGGATTTTATATCATTCAACATAATAAGAGAACCAGCCTTGATTATTTGTTTCCTTATCCTGGCAACCTGAGGGAAAATCCTAAATTCAACTGAGACACTCACAACCTCACAAGCTGTAATGTTAATATGCACATAATCCTCCCCATTCCATTTAGTATCTGACCAGATAAGGTCCATGAGTTTAACATTCAACATTATATCAGATTCTTCCCCACGCCCCCAGCCCCGCACATTTGTTTTTCATTATAACATACCGGGTGGAGAGATCTGAAAATTTAAGAAATTCTTTCGCATGCCTTGCGACCACTGAAGAGGCATCATAATGGTCTTTTTTTTTCCTGATAGCCAACATAATCATTTTTAAAAAACAAAATTTCAGATTCATCTAAGAGGCCTTTTGATAACCAATTAATATAATCAAAGTAAAGAATATGCTTCTGACATTTGTTGAATTTTTTAATAATGCTCTTTTCATGTTTACCTTCTGCATTTAAAAACTCTGACCGTTCTAACTAAATCTAGAATAGCTGGAAGCAAAATGTTGTTCAAACAGAAGGAAAACATGCTTTGGAGAAGAAAAAGTGTCTCTTTGCCTGGATTTTATGAAAAAAGATAGACACTATAAAAGACTCCCAGGATGTACAGACTCAGTCTTCTCTAATCATGCATTATCCAAGCACCATATCTCAGGATGTGCAAAGCTTTCTTGAGGAAAAAAGAAAGTCTAGGACAAGGAATTCACTGTATAGAAAAATAAGAATATGTACCATAATCGAAGAAGAGTGAAATCTTGTGAGCTACATTTTTTTTGACTGCTAGATGATTCACATGGAATTCTCAAAGTCTCACAGAGGGGGAAAAAAAAAACACTAGATTTGACAGCCTGGAGATCTAAAAGACATGTTCTATATCTGGGAAAAATCACTGAATCTTGCTTGATTCTGTGCTATAGGACAACATTGTTACATGCAGCTAAGATTTCCCTAGGTATAATCTGTTTTACTACAGGTACAAAAGTGCTTATATGCTAGTCTTGCTTTTCAAAGGGAACCTCACTGATGTCTTAAAAGAAAGCTAAAGGGTCACATTCCCTTCCCCCCCCTCCTGAATTGTTTAAAGACAACATGAAAGTGAATGTTATATACCAGAACTGGATTATTTAATCAACTCACTGAAAACTGAAACAAGCTGGTTCTGATTCTTCAACTTAAATTCCTTTGGGCTGTAAAGTATTATCCTTACAGAGCTTTTTTTTACAAAAACAAAGTTGGTATATATAAAGTGATCAAATACATTAAGTTGCACATTGAACTATATCTTATTACATAAACTATATCTCTGTAATTCAAAGGTAAATGCCAGTGCAAATGAGAAACTTGCACGGGGAGTACTGACATAGGGACTGCTGATGACCTTTGTACAGTCAGAAACTGGGAGCAAGACTGGGTCACAAACCTTGCAACAATAAACAGGGATTATTGTGTTTGCTTTTCTTTTGG